TGTACGAAGCCTATCCTGAATAATCCTGACCTTGTCCAAGGCCTCCTAAACCAGATCCGTACCCAACAACCAAGCCTTTCCCGGCTCAAACCATCCAACTGGAGATCGACACCGCCTACCATATAAAGCCTTATAAGGAGCCATCTGGATACTCGACTAGTAGTTGTTGTTGTAGGCAAACTCTACTAAAGGCAAGAACTGATCCCATGAGCCTCCAAAGTCAATGACACAGGCTCGGAGCATATCCTCTAAAATCTGAATAGTCCGCTCGGACTGCCTGTCCATCTGATTATGAAATATTGTACTCAACTCAACCTGAGTGCCCAACTCTTGCTGCACTGCTCTATAGAAATACGAGGTAAACTGTGTACCTCGGTCCAAAATGATAGACATAGGCACACCATGAAGACGAACAATCTCACGGATATAGATCTTAACTAACCTCTCGGATGAATAGGAGACTGCCACAGAAAATGAAATGCGTTGACTTGGTCAGCCTATCAATAGTGATCCATACTGCGTCGAACTTCCTCCGAGTCTGCGGGAGTCCAACAACAAAGTCTATAGTGATCCGCTCCCACTTCCACTCGGGAAGCTCAATCATTTGAAATAAACCACCAGGCCTCTAATGCTCATACTTAACCTGCCGACAATTCAAACACCGAGCCACATATGCAATGATGTCCTTCTTCATTCTACACCACCAATAATGCTGCCGCAAATCCTGATACATCTTCGCGGCGCCCGGATGAATAGAGTACCGGAAACTATGGGCCTCCTCTAAGATCAACTCTCAGAGCCCATCCACATTAGGCACACAAACGCAACCCTGCAATCTCAAAACTCCATCATCATCTAAGGTACCCTGCTTGGTACCTCCGCACTACACCGTGTCTCTAAGGATACAAATAGGGATCATCATATTGTCGATCTCAAATATGCTCCAATAATGAAGAACGAGCGACTGTGCAAGCTAGTACACGACTGGGCTCAGAGACATCCAACCTCACGAACTGATTGGCCAAAGCCTGAACATCCAAAGCAAGAGGTATCTCACCGATCGGAATATAAGAAAGACTGCCCATACTGGCTGACTTCCTACTCAAAGCATCGGCCACCACATTGGCCTTTCCCGGATGATATAAGATGGTGATATCATAATCTTTCAACAACTCAACCACCTCCTCTGCCTCAAATTCAACTCCTTTTGCTTGAACAAATACTGAAGGCTCTTGTGATCCGTGAACACCACACATGCCACCCCATACAAATAATGCCTCCAAATCTTCAATGCGTGAAAAATGGCTACCAACTCCAAATCATGAACCGAATAGTTCTTCTCATGAATCTTCAACTGTCACGAAGCATAAGCAATGACCTTTCCATCCTGCATCAACACCGCACCAAGCCCAATACGAGATGCATCACAATAAACTATTTAAGGCCCTAAACCACTATAGTTATGCAGGTAATAACGCCATGGAGAGGAAAACCGGCGTCGGCGTGCCGGTTGGCGGGGGTATGAGTTGTTTATTAGAGTAGTTGGCTTGATGTCATCTAAGTAATTTTTTTTCCCATCATAGATAGCATCTAAGTATACTTTTTAGTTTATGGGAACCTTTTTGAATAAATCAATCAAAGAAAATGAAGGGGTAAATCTTAGCTAAGTATAATAATCTCTAGAACAAAAGATAGATAAGGAGAATATGGGTGATGGAATTCTTTATCAAGACCAAAGAACCTTTTTAACGATAATCCTCTCAGTCGCTTTTGTAAGCAAGTTTACAACAAGTGTTATGAGTTACGAAAAGTGTCCAGGCCTTTACAAGGTTATTTCACGTTATATATATATATAAGGAGCAAAAACCCTTCTAAGCTTTAAAAGATAAGTTACAGGGAATACTCGAAAGGACATTCCTAATATCCCCTAATGGGCCTGCACCACTGCAAGGGTCGTACGATCTCTTGTTCGCCTTAAGGTCGTCCTCTGCAAGATGTCGAGCTACGAGGATCTCGTTGTTATTCATCAACGGTCGGGGTTGTTCAAATTGGACCCATACAATTACATGGCTTAAGGAGAAGACTTTTTCCTCTCCTTTTAATAATATATAGAATAAATATAGATATTTGTGATAACTATAGTTATACAGGTAATAACGCCATGGAGAGGAAAACCGGCGTCGGCGTGCCGGTTGGCGGGGGTATGAGTTGTTTATTAGAGTAGTTGGCTTGATATCATCTAAGTAATTTTTTTTCCCACCATAGATAGCATCTAAGTATACTTTTTAGTTTATGTCCACTTTCCCGAGGAGAATCTCAATGGAATTTAATATAATCCAAAAATTTAAATTTTATTCTCAGACAAGAGGGGTTACTCTGATGGTAAGCAATCTTCACTTCCAACCAAGAAGTTGTGGATTCGAGTCACCCCAAGAGCAGCAAGGTGAGGAGTTCTTGGAGGGAAGGATGTCGAGGGTCTATTTGGAAACAGCCTCTCTACCTCAGGGTAGGGATAAGGTCTGCGTACACACTACCATCCTCAGACCCTACTAGTTGGATTATTTGGGTTGTTGTTGTTGTCTCTTTT